CACACACACACACACACACACACGGTACACACACACGCACACACACACACAAACGCACTTATTATATTAAATTCTCACAATTTCAAACCATGGAAAAGCACACGAAGCAATAATGATAGATCTGCCACTTAAAGAGTTTAATAGGATACCCATCACCTTCCATCCCCCATCCCATTCCCCCCCCAAAAGAAAAAAAAAAGTGGTAATCGGACAAAGAAAGTAGCAAAAGCGATCGATGGCAGTTTGTATTTAGACATCTTTTCGCAGACCCAAGTAACATATCTTTCACTAGTAGAATGCAAGCTCAATTTGGGCATTTAGCCAGGGGGAAAAAAACCCAATTTATAGCTGATATAACAAAGTTGAAGGGTGTTGAGTTTGTGCATGGAGTGTCAGTCTGGTAGGACCACAATCACATTGTCATTATTTTGATCTATATTTTTCTATTCATCAAAATATAGTCGTTTTCCCTTGGAAATCGAAAGAAACTCAGATTTTGACTCTAATAGGTGCAGTTTATAGCAGAACACCATTAACATTTCGTGCTAACCGGGGCCATGCTTGTCTGCGATCAACGAAAATGCCTTGAACAATGGACGCAGTTTGTTTTGTTTACCGCACGTTTCTCCACGATCAGCTGGTGACCCAGATATGCGCATCCGGGCGAAGTGCCGTCTCTCTAGTATTACTGTAAACTCTCTGGTTTTACCATTGAATTCTAATCATGATATTGAGATATGGATGTCAAGTGAATGCCAAATCGGAAGTGAATTTTCCATGAATAAATACATTGGAAACAAGTTAATCATCATTTTTTTCAAGTTTGTATATGTCCTAAACTTAAAAGCTAATTTTCTCAAAATTAGATCTTATTCCCTACTTCACATAATGACATGTGCAATATCTAAAAAATTACTTGAGATATCTCAAAAATTAAAAACCCCACTGTTTTCAGCATTGAATTTCCTATATGGTACAACCCTTAACTCAAAATGGTCAAAATTCGACCTTTGGTACCTTCCTTTAGGCGCACACACATATGTGTCTGATATGTCCTTAAAGAGTTAAAGCAGTATATCCAGGTCAACTTTTGCTTCCATTGCAATGTGGTGGTAAAAGTGTGCTTTGGCATTGGGAGTGTATAGTTTTCTTAACTGTTCTTTAATGCTTCATGAATTTTTATGTGTTTTTTTTTTTTTAAAGTCTTTAGGTTAAATCAAATAGCGAGGTTGTCAAGTAGTTTCTTTATTCTGCTGCTTGTTTGCTTCTGTTTCTTTTTAGGTTTCTTTTCTAATTTCATCATTATATATGAGCCTTTAATTCTTAGACTTTGTATTACAATACACCTCAGGTGATGGATGGAGGTCGCCACTGGTAAGCCTTACTTCTTCTCTGTTCTTCTGTTGTTTCTGTCTATCTGTCTTTCTTTGTTCTTGCACTAAATAGCCGCCATTGTGTTAGTGTGCATTATTTTACTTAAACAAACAACAAAAAACAATACCATTGGTTTTTTTTGGCTCAGTTTTGTTCATGAACACAGACTTTATACATTCAGTTGTTTTATATTACTGGACCTTTCTATTGTACCGAGCTCAATGAGATTTACTTGGTCTTCAGCTGGCCAAGTCCTGGGGCATGCATGTGACCACCACTTGTAGTGGGGATGCAATTGACCTGGTCACTGCGTTAGGAGCAGATGTTGCCGTGGACTACAAGACAGGCGGTCCCTGGAGACAGCTGGGTCAAATGAGCAAGTACGTCCTGAACTGGCTTGTTTTTTTTCTGAAAGCTAAGACTTAACAATATTTCTCTCGTGAGGTAATATAGTATTCCATTCAAAGAGTAGACATTGTTGGGGTTTTTTTTTAAGCTATCTCCTGTTGGCCCTTTCAAATGTTATTGGTTGCTTTGTTTTGTGCACATATGCATGGGGAGCTGCAATGTTGATTCGGATTTCTTTCCAAGCCATGTTTCCTCTCTGACATTCTTCTTGTGTTTTCCTCAGATAAATTACAATGAAATGACTGATTCTTTTTCTTCCGTTTTTCCCCCTTTTTGCTGAGCGTTCAAGGCCATTCTGGCTGTCCTAGAAAAATCTGTGCACAAAGGGTGTTGGAGATAAACGGTGCCAGAATATTTTCAGGACGATGCACTGTATACTGTATTATAATTGCTTCATGCTGAACTGTGATGTGAGTGGTCCTGGTTTGTATCCCCAGTTGTTTGAGGACCTTTTATTGATGTCCACCCACTGCCCTTCATTGTATCAGACCGTAATTCTGAAGCTCTTTCCCTTGGGTAACCCTGATGCCTAATGTATTGATAGGGGTATGAGTACATGCTATAGCGATTTAAATGTAAATATGTTTTTCTTATGGTTTTCAGATTTGATCTCATCCTTGATACCATTGGGGGCGAGTCCACTAGCAGAGCAGCCAGTCTCCTAGGCTCATGGAAGAACTCAAAGCTCGTTACTATTGTGAGCCCAATACTGAAAAATTCGGATAATCTTGGGGTTCTGCCTGGACTTGTGAAGACAGCCCTTAATGCTGGTGTTGACACTTTGATGGTGAGAACAAAATCTATTTCCAGTACAACAATGTTATTTTATGTACTGTTGGAAGTTACATTGATGGTGTAAAAGGGTCTCTGTGTCTAAATGCTGAGGTTTACACTCAAAAGATACGGTGAGCCCCAGCTATAATAGGACTTCTGGGACCAACATGATATCCCTGTTATAGCCGAACCCTGTCATGGATGGGGATCAAGTTCACAAACACTGTAACTAATGATTCCAGCCCTAGCCATTTTTATGCACTCCCTAACCCCAGTCCCAGCCAATACAGCAGTATTTCAGAAAAAGAGGCATGCATTCTAAAAAGTGATGTTGTATCTTTGTAGTGAGGTTTAGAAAATAACAATGTTTATAGGTAAATGAACTAATATGAAAATGAAAGTTTACTTAGGTTTGTTAATTTTGAAAAATGCACAAATTCTGTACCACCCGAAACTGAGAAAATACGCTCTTGGGATGGTGGGAGGAACAAGCACTGCTGAAAATATACGCGCATGGGGCGGGAAGGGTTAACCAATGGGATCACTTTATTACATAGATGGCCCACTACCAATTATATCAGTTACTGATACTTACTTTTCCAGTGATATTTTTCCTTTATCCTTTTCTTCTTTTTTCTCTCTCTCTTTTTTCTGGCATGATGGCGTCATTAGTGGTCAGCGATGCCGACAGCACCCAGGAACTCAACATTCAATCTGAGGTCCTTTAAAAGTGCTGAACGTGGGTCACTGAAATGTCCGTGCAGACATGTTCATATTATATCTTGTTTATCTTCCTTTTTCTGGTATCTAAGTCTCATAGAGGTTGACTAGACATAATTAGAGATGCGCAGGTAATGATGATATTGCTTGCATTTATATTTAAAGAGCACAAATATTCATGCACTACAGAGTCTAAAGCATGCTCTGTGTGCTTTATAACAACAGTGGAACCTGCCATGACGACCTCCTGTACAAACGACCACTTCCATTTCCCCCCCTTGCGTTTTTTCTGTAAAATTTTACTGTGTAAAATGTTCACCTGTCCACCCTATTTTATCTTCCAAAAATGAAAAAAAACCTGTCTAAGAAGGGCCACGCATATCTTTTTTCACCTGGCACTTTGTCATAAATTGCGTATTGGCTCCTAACGCTGTGGACGAGGCGTCATAATCCATTGACCTGTCGTTATTGTTAGTCCTTCCCGTGTCCCATCATGTTTGGTAGATGCTATTCACTGTTGTTTACTCAAGTTAACCACCGGGTAGCAATAAATTTTCAGCTGCTGGTAAGGGAAGTGTGTGGTCCATCATAACCTACCAACCTACTAGCGAACGAGTTAATGAACATCTCTGGTAAGCAGGTTGCCCAACTTTTTTTCTTCGTACAGTTGAAACTGTCTAAGATGAAGACCCATTATCGAGAAGAAAATGGCCTTCTTAAACAGGTGAATGTCTTACACAGTGTCATTATAATGTAAAAAATACTCGATGGAGGAAACGGAAAATGACTATTTGTGCAGGTGATTATACAGGTTGTAGTTAGAGCAGGTTTTCGTTCATGAAAATACGATACTGACAGCACATATATTCCACGGCGTCACTTTTCGCCCAATTCTGTTACTTTTAGTTCGCGTGACTCAGCAGCCCGCCGGAGCTCCCCGGCTCGGGGTCACGGGGTTAATGAACCCTGAAGCGACTTTGCCGGTGTCGGTCAGGAAGTTCGCATTTTTGACTATGTCTAAAACGATATAACTTCTTCCCCATCCCACATAGCAAACCATTACGCGGATGTACTAAAAGCTTAATGTCTTGAAATTTATTCTGCATTAGAATGGTTAGTTTCTGTGCCTTAGTTTTTGTTCTAGACAAGTGTTTGTAGAGTACCCAATTTGTCCTATTTTAGTTACAAACTTATGAATAAATGATTGTTAATTTTAAAAAGGCTCGACAGATCTCTCCAAAATCTGTGTTAAACTGACTACGAATACCATGTCTTTTACCATGAGAAATCTTAAATCTGCGCGAGTAGTAATAGTCAAGTTATAAGAGAAGAAAGATGCACATCTTCATTTTTTAACTAAAGACGATCAACGTTAGCTCTTATTTTACTATTAAACAAGAGAAAGTTACTCTGCGTTTGTTCATGAATCATGCTGTGTCTGTGGCAGCCTGCATACAACTAAAAAGATATAATATAAGCGATTTAAAAAAACCACAAAACCGTGTAAATACATGGGTAGAGATAAACTTCTTGTATGGAATAAAAATAATGACAGCTAAAACATTCATTCTTAGTTTTTGTGTAGGAAATATGCGTGGACACAATTATGAATGTAAAGAAATCAGTCACATTGTCAGTTATTGCAAATTGTCATAGAAACGAAAAAAAAGCTGGAAAAGTCTGGTGCTGATTCAGTGTCCCTGGAAAGCTAGAAATTATTCTTATAACCCAATTACGAGAAGTCATCCCTATTATTCAGTCAACTTACAAAACCTATACTTAGCGTTTTAAGAAAAGTAAGGAATTTCTGGAGTGTAACAGATACTGTTCGTGTATTAGATCTACGTTGAAGATGTATTCTAGCACTAAAATCGATTTGTACTTTTCCTAGAGAAACTTCATGGTAACTTTTAGACACATAAAGTTGTTTTTGGAGGAATTACTTCATAGCGAATTGTGTGCCCGATGGATAAAATTGTAAAATTACAGCCTTCTATTATATATGCAGATACCATCTTTTCTGAGTATCTGCACCAATGTTATGTCGTTCATGTTCCAAAAGTTCGACAGGTTTTGACAATGCCTTTTTTTATATTGATTTTTTTTCATTCACACTAGTCCCAAAAAAATTATAATTTAGCATTGCCGACTCCAGCGCGTCAAACGAAATAACCAGAAAAGTTACAACGTCCGTTCTTTTTTGAGTCTCAAGAGCAGAAATGCGTGCTTTGAATGCACTAAATGAGAATTACCATAAATACTAGGATACACCTTAAATTGTACGTTGAAAAGTACGAAAAATTAAGTTGGCCCAGACAGAGCGGCGACAGGGAGCTGACCCCCGTGACCCCGACGTGATAGGGCGGGGGGACCCCCGCAACTAAAATTCCACTGCCAGTGCGCCGTGATTCATGATTGTCCTTCCTGCTTTTTTTTTTTCCTAGGGTTTAAAGTCAGGTGGAAGTGTGCGCTGGGCTGTGTTCATGCCCAATGGCAGTGCTATGGACAGAGTTCGGAGGATGGTGGAATCTGATCAGGTGGGTGCACAGTGGTTTCATAACTAAGAATCTTTAATTTTTTATAAGTACCAAGCATGCAAAGAAAATACAGTCAAACCTGTCGAAGACAAGCACACATTGTCGAGGAGAAAAAAAATAGTTGTCTTTGACGGGTTGACGTCGTGGGCAGGTCAGAAGAAAATGAAGAAGAAAAAAAATTCCTTTCTACTTCTTAGATCCCATCAGGATATGGTCACAGGCTTAGAACTGCCATGAGGCTCATACAAGTGGTTTTGTTTTTTTCTCTTGGAGGAAGGTTCGGGGTTTTTGTTATTGTTTTCATTGGGTTGCTGTTTTTTAAAAATATTCCCTTCTGATAGTTGTTTCTGATAACACATTGGGTGATTGAAAGTTGATGTGGCTGTCTTGGACAGATTTTTGGGGCTATTGCCTTATATATCATAGCTGTCATGGTGGACAAGTGGTCTTCTATTCATAGTGTCCTTATATAGATTAAAACACAAAAGGAGAAGTGGGAAGTTGTTTGTAGGTGGTAGTCTTGGACAGGTGGTCACTAGAGCAGGTTCAACTGTATATTATTATACAAGGGGCTTGTTAGCTTAGAAGTAAGGTAATTACTTATGCTCAAGTTCTCTGTTTGATTCTGTGTGGTCAGGCATGGCTGGTGGATAATTTTGTTCGTTTTCTCATCATAGCCCTTATCTAAGGTTATGTGGTATGGACAACAAAAAAAAATCTCTATATAATATACACATTGCGTGTGTTATGGTTTCCTGGACCGTTTTATAATCAACATATTATTTTAACTTCATTTGGTAATAAAAATGACTGTACGCTTATTCAAAAATGAACAACTGTTGGGTTGTCTTTCAGAAGTCATAAGTAGCTGGCACAGCAATACAAGGCTGCGTTTCGGCCCTTTTTGCGAGTGCTGTTGCTGTAACACCTCTAGGGTAGAGACGGGTAACTTCGCCACCTTCGTTCACTGACGGTGAAGAATCTCTGTGTGATGCAGTCAATTCATTTGACACGGACGAAACACACATAGGCCTTATATTGGCCAATCAAAATGCCCCCTCTGCCTTCCTTTTAAACGCTTTGCCTTCGTACTGTAAAGATATCGCATTTTTTATTAGTTTAGGTCATGGCCGGTAAATTCGCCAGCCTGGGGGTAA